TGTCCCCCCACAAGCCGAACTGGGCCGAGGGATACAATTGTTAACCAACATGTTAGTCTGCGTTCATCATTTGCGGCAGTGTTAACCACCGATCAATAGCGTCTATCAGCGTTCCGAGCGTCTGCGGCTAGGAAAGTATAGATATTGATCTAGCGTCTGCCATCGTCCACCAGCGTCTCGAGGGCAAAGGAAGTATAGGTATCGATCAGGCGTCAGTCGGCGTCTACCCGCGTCCACCAGCGACCAGGTCTGCTAATCTCCTATATCCCCGTACTCTACCAGCTGTCTGCTACCCTCCTACCGCGCCATACCCTCCACTCCCGGACGCTGGTGGACGATGGACATTAGATCCATATCGATACTTTCCTAGTCGCTGACGCTCAGGACCCTCGGGACGCTGGTGGACGCTGCCGCAAAATATGAACGCAGCTTTATGGAAATTGAAGGGGCTTGCATAAAACAAATGAATCACTGAAGAATCATCTCTGGGACGTGACGCAAAGGAGTTAAAGATGGAATGTACAAAAAATACGAAAAAAATCTTTGCAATTGCAGAAACACAGCGTTAACTCTGGCTAGGACGTCTTTTACCCCAATTAGTCTGGGAAAGACAACACCCCACGTCCTCAAGGAGATAGCCTCAACAGAATACTCATTGCAGTTATGTGGTGCTATGCATGAAGATCATGACCCGTATGGGCTCAAAAGTCCTGGAGGCGCTCGGAGACGGTGATTTCGTCCGCTGCATCCACTCCGTCGGTCTTCCTCGTCCTGTCAAGCGTAAGTTTTTCACATCCCATTTACATCGCCATACAAACCAAGTACTTTTGTTTCAGAAAAGGTCATCAACCACTGGCCTTGCAACCCCGATAAGGTCATGATCGCTCACCGACCTGTAGAAAGGGAGATTTGGTCATTTGGATCGGGTTATGGTGGAAACTCACTTCTCGGTAAGTTTTTGGTTACAGTGTCACAACTTACCAGTAGAGTAGTGGATAGAATGACCGTTTTTGCAGGAAAGAAATGCTTCGCACTCCGAATCGCTTGCAACATCGGTTACGATGAGGGATGGATGGCCGAGCACATGCTGGTTGGTGATTAACCCACATTCAGGGCACGTCCTACGTTAGGGAGTCCCCAGCGGTAGGGGGGGGGGGGGAAATCGTATTGGCGCTGCAGCGGAGGATGGGCGTATTTTGGGTGTAACAAATTTTTTCGATTAGTTTATTTTTCATTTATCGGCGCTATCCACATGGTTAGGAGAATTCTAGCGGGTAGGGAGGGAGGATGGAGATGGGGGGGGGGTAGTAGTTGCCTTCTAGAGTAATTTGCCGCGTTTTCCGGCCTTCCCGTTTCTCTGGTGCTACACTCAAAATCCCTAAGATGCGGTAGGCGTGGCTGCGTACTTTAATTGAACGGGGCGGCCGCCGAGGTTTTAGTGAAATATTTTCATTTGGGGACAGCAAATTGGAATATCCCACGAGTAGCCCACCTTCGGCCATGTTCAAATGCCACGCCTACTCCGTCTCAGGGATAAGGAGTGTATATACCCTCACCCCGCTCAATAGTAAAATTCTGGAATACCCTGGTAATTTTCATAGAGAAAAGTTGGCGAAAAAGGCAAGACAGTAGGTAGGATGGGGAGGGGAGGGTGTCGTAGCGGACTACGAATTTGAGGGGAGGAGCGAGAATTTTTCCCCAGCGGCAGGACGTGTCCTGCCCACAGTATGACACCTTTATCAAACGGTTATCGCCTATATCTTAGATCATGGGTATCACGAATCCAGCAGGTCAGGAGCGATTTGTTGCCGCTGCTTTCCCCTCTGCATGCGGTAAGACGAATCTCGCCATGTTACTGCCGACAGTACCCGGCTGGAAGGTCCGCGTAGTAGGTAAGAAAAATATTTGGAACTTCAGGCAGGAAAAGATAAAGCTGAGCTTCACTACTTTCAGGTGACGATATCGCCTGGATGAAGTTCGGCGAAGATGGACGCTTGTATGCCATCAATCCAGAAGCTGGATTCTTCGGAGTCGCGCCAGGTATTGTTTAGGAATATGACTTTTACTATCCGTTAATGTTCAATACGTTATCAAACAACAAACGGGAAAAGGAACACTATAGGAATTAGGCGACAGATACACTCCACATCCCGAATATGGAGTGGGCGTGGCTGCATGCTTCAATCGAGTGCGCCGGCGGCTGCACTTCCGGTGGGAAGTTGCTTGCCTGGGACAATTGTACCCATGTCTTTGTTCAGCACAAGGGAGGATGATAATTCTCTCGGACGGAAAAACCCCTCGGAAATGCGTCCAACACCATGTTCAAGTATGTAGGCACGCCCTCCCCATCTTCGGGTTATAAGGTATATGTAAGGTGCCCAAACCGACTTGAAAGCCACCGCGAGAACATGGATTTTGTGGTTTTCCTCAAAACAGGAGCATTTTCTAGATAGGAGGCGAGAGGGCAAAGTTGCGTGCGACTTCTTCACGCACTTTACCTACATTTGAAGTCCACGTTCTGAAAAGAAGCGGAACTGCCTCACTTTCTGAAGGGCAGATTTCAAAGCAACGAAATCACTGGGAACAGTAGATGGTGCTCACAATCAGTCACTGCGTAGTCTTAGGCAGAGCACGCCATCGTTGTGATAGTCTTGACAGGCGGGTCGTATTTGACCTCGAGGGAGGGGGGGGGGGGTCGTAAGCGCAGGGCCCTTTCTGAAGTGAGGGTGCAGCGATACCCAGATGTCGTTCAGCTTCAATGATGAAAGACTTATTATGTGAAGAACCCCTGAAGAGACACACACGCACATAAAAAGACCGAAACAACCTGCCAGCGCAGTAGTGGGGAGCGGGCAATGACAGGAAATACGATTGCCGCCTACAACGACGTCGTGAACTAATAAACAATTGAAAATACACTTCGGACCTTTCTGATCGCAGGAGCACATCTACTTGCACGGAGGAAGCCCTATCTAGAAGCTGCACCTTCCAATACCTCTGCGTGAGAGCCCTATGCATGGCGCATTACAGAGGTGATGCCAATCGGCGCCCAATACTATTTCCTAATACCCTTGGCGAAAACATGTGTTTCAGAGGCATATCAAAGTCTTCAAACGAACTGAAAGTTCTATGGCATCGGAGGGATGGGGTTTTCGTGTCGTCCGGAACGAGTTTGCGTTCTAATCGCAACTGGGGATTTTTCGAATAGTAGGCGGGATAAAGATGAAAGTCCTGCTGAAAAGTAGAAACCTCCCGAATTCCGCCACTGCTTTTTGTTTTACAACAGCTTGCATAAATATTGTTATAGTAGTTCAAAGCGTTAGGACTTGTAAATGACCCGCAAAGATCACTGGAATCACAACGAAGAGATGCCTTTGAAAAGAGGTTTCGAACTCGAATAACAGTCTAGTGCTCCACAGCCCTGCTTCCCCCCCCCCTTATAGATGTTCAAGCGAAGGGTACTTTCGAAGTGCTTGGCTTAAGACTGCATTTGAATCGCGAAATAGGGCGCTCCATTACCACAGCACAAAGCGCGCTCACCTTTGAATGACCGCGAACAATTAATATTCAAGTGCTGGTACTTGCATTTTCGCGCTTTTCTTTATTTTCTGGTGTCTTTTAGTGCTCATTTATAATTTATTACTTTTCTTAATTGATTTATGATTTATTATGGCTCATTTTCATCGTGTTTCTCATATTTATCCTTGATTAAAGTCGCGACTTTTTGTTTATTTTCGCCAGATCTCATTTTCTGCGGTGTTTGTTTGTTCACTGCTGATTGGTCCGCTGCTAGCAGATTCAGCCGGACAAGCGCATGGCGGGGGGGGGGCGTCGCTATGCAAGACCCTTTCTAGAAGTGGGGACGTGTATTTTAGTGGATTGTTATCGCAACGCGATAGCGTGCCTAGTCATAGGGCCACAGATCCATTTGGTCTGTGTAGACGCTGAAGCCACAAAATGAAGACAACTTCGGAGTTTATCTACTCCCTTCTCGATGCCCTTGATTCCTTGGTTTTCAAATTCAGTTAGAGAAGGAATGCTATTCACATTGTTCCTCCCAAGTAATCCTTGCATTGACTTCTCCGTTCAAACACAACCATCAGGCTCACTTTCCAGGCACATCCAACAAGACCAATCCTATGGCCGTGGCTTCGTTCCAGAAGAACTCAATCTTCACCAACGTCGCTGAGACCGCCGACGGCGAATACTTCTGGGAAGGACTCGAGAAGGAGCTCAAGGAAAAGGTAGGATGGTATTCTTCTAAAGGATCCTGTACGTTAAAGTAGGACAAAGCTATCGACATATGTTTTTCCTTCTGTTCCCATAACCTTCCTGAACGCTCGATATGGGACGCTGAAAGTATTGAAATTTTCAAATTGCTGGAATTCGCTGCTTCCCGGGATTCGCTTGCCTCCCACACTCTCGATCTCAGGAATTTCCACAGTACGTCAAAAGGTGGCCACAGCTCCATCAGGGATGTCTGGCCAATTTCCCACTAAAAAGGATGACCATCCTTAGTGAAATGATCGCTATACTTCAACAGTATTGCAAGTTTCCTCCAAAAAGAAACATAAAAAATGAGCAGCAAAAAAGAGCTACCTCTCGGAGGATCGATCACTCTGATGCACCACACGACACTATTTGCTTTCAGAAAAACTTGACTGATGAACAACTGCGCCATATCGAAATCACCAACTGGCTTGGCGAGAAATGGCACATTGGAGACGAGGGTAGGTTGCGATCTGACGTCTCCCAAGCACATTTAGGTCTAATCACTGGCCATTTCAGGTAAGGCTGCCCATCCGAACTCGCGTTTCACAGCACCGGCTGGTCAATGCCCGATCATCCATCCAGACTGGGAAGCTCCTCAAGGAGTACCAATCGACGCTATCATTTTCGGAGGTCGTCGCCCGGAAGGAGTGCCCCTTGTACGTACTTTGATTATTTACAGTTTAAGAATAAATCTGGACAGTTGCTAGGCATGGACGTGTTTCCAAAGAGAGCACAGAATGAAAAACGTTCAATTTTCTTACGACGAATAATCATCAGGACCGGTTCTTTTTAATGCGATCAAGGGCTCTTGTTGCACTCCACAAAAACAAATTAGAGTTTCTGTCAAAATATAGAGATTTTTAAGGTATTCGAGAGTTTCTCATGGGAACATGGAATTCTCGTCGGAGCGCTCGTCAAATCAGAAGCTACCGCTGCTGCTGAGCACACTGGAAAGCAGGTGAGGGAAAAGACTGGTCATAAAACAAGTACCTTCATTTTGGCTGCTTTCGAGAAGGTACAGAGCAACCTGAGCAGGGGATCAGAACTCGAATAAATAGGGAAGTAGTGTCGAAAAAAAGGAAAAATGGAAGAAAGCAAGGGAAACAGAAGGATGCGGGAAGACCAGAGCGTAGCGAAGTTTGTGATGCAATGAACAAAGCAGGCCATGATGAAAATCAGAGGATCCAGGACCAACGTTGGAAGGATGACGCATTTGCTATTCCTTCAAGATGCGTCATGCATTCGACTTCCATCCAGTATCACAACATTGTGTGGATGATAATGGGTATTTGGCCTTCAAATCGCGAAGGAGTAATCCCCAGCTCTCGCCCAAAGTCTTCACTTTCCATAAAATTGCTAGTGCTCTTTCTGGGGGGGGGGGCATCTTTCTAGATCCCATGGACAAGGAGACTTGTATACACTTGTGAAACTGAACTGGCACTCGGTTAAGCTTGAACAGGCCATCTTGTGAAGGCATGCAGGACTTATACCCTAGTTCGCTGCGGACGGTTGGGCGTGTCAGGCAGTATGAGTGTGTCACGCCGTCAAAGCCGTTCTCTGCCTTCTTGTTGAAGCGCGCATGCGACAAAAAGTGGTAGAAAACGAGTAATACGAACGATATGATACAGTCATATCACTTGCTCGCTTTAACAACTGGTGGAGAACGGGTTTGGCACCGCGCCAAACTCATCCCGCCTGACACGCCCAACTGTCCGCAGCTAACTACACTAAATTTACTTTAATTATACACGCATTTAAATTCAGATTTCTCTTCTTTTAATGTCGAGCCCATTGATAGGAAGTATCTGATGAATTATCTGAATTGGTGATTTAAGGTAATGCATGACCCGATGGCTATGCGTCCATTCATGGGTTACAACTTCGGCAGGTATCTTCAGCACTGGATCAACCTTGGAAAGGCACCACACAAGGTATTCCACACACAGCTTGTTTGATTGAGACGCTCTTAATTCTAAAAATTTTCAGGTCCCGAAAATCTTCCACGTGAACTGGTTCCGCGAGACCAAGGACCACAAATTCTTGTGGCCTGGTTTTGGTGACAACATCCGTGTACTCGACTGGATTCTCAGAAGAGTTGAAGGAGTTGATGACATCGCGGTACGTTAGTGAAAGGGACTGGGACTTGGGGGCGGGGATCTTCTCACTAGATGCGCTAGATGTGGAACAGTTTCTTTTTGGTCACCGCGTGCGGGCGATCCACCCTTTTGCCAAGCCCTTTGACGGTTCAAGGGATCCTAGTCGCGGCATCGCGCGCAAACCACTTGGTACTCTTAGCCAGTTAACTCGGCCGAGTAGGACTTTCTAGCTGCATATGCCGTTTATTTTTCCTACTCCTCCTTCCTACGGGCATGCGCCCTATTTCAAGAAAAATCTGATAAACTATAAATTATTCCCTCCATTTTCAACCTTGAGGGGGGAAGTTGTGTCAGATCATCTTCATTATCGCTGTAGTTCGCTGCCGATGAAGGGGCGTGTCAGGCAGTACGAGTATGCCCCGGCGCCAAACTCGTTCTCTGCCATTTGTTGAAGCGGGTTGCGAGAGCGATATGATACAGTCTCGTCACTGGTTGCTTCAAACAATTGGCGGAGAATAGGTTGGCACAACGCCAAACCCATCCCGCCTGACACGCCCCTCCGTCCGCAGCGAACTAAACGAAACAAGGATTGTCATTGTAGGCCATTGAATGAGGATCTGATAAATTTGGAACAGAAAAAAGCCGTTTATCGATTACCGATCCTGTAAGATAAAAAGGATAATCTCCGCCGTTGATCAATATTTCTGGGATGCGACATGCCTTCTGCTTCCGATCAGAATCATGGTGGTTTACTGAATGCGATGCAGCCGATACAAAGACGGTGCCCATGTACGAACCAGTGTTTCTATCCTCCCAAACGAATCTGGTACCAATTTACCGTCCCCGGAGGGTAGAAGGCTTGGTTGGCCTGGGCGGGTGTCGACCTGGGATTTGAACCCAGACCGCGCACGTGGTAAGCGTGCCACCCGCCATTACATCACCTCAGCCTGCAGGATGAAATAAAGCCGCAAAAGGATTGGTATATGACTCAGGACTTTCATGATCTGGGTAAAACGCCAAAGTGCTGCGCGAGTTAACCTCGAGGATTACCATCTGGCTCGCGCCCGTATAGCCTGGGGTCATCTGAACCAAATTCACGATAGGAGGAGTGCAGTCGCATTCAGTGACCTCCCACTTTAGTAGGTAACGCCAATCTAATGATATTTGTTCGCAATGAAGATCTAAATTTACAGGAAGAAACCCCCATCGGATACATCCCGAAACGAGGCAGTCTTAACCTTGACGGACTCCCACGTATTGACTGGAACGCACTGATGTCCATCCCCAAGGACTACTGGGTGGAGGATATCGATGAGAGCAAGCACTTCCTCGAATGCCAGGTAATCGCTTGGGAATCACTGATACCCGCTGTCTTTACGCTGTTCTTTAGCGAAAAATCATTCAATTTAGGTCGGATCCGATCTTCCAGAGCCCATCTTCGAGCAACTGGAAGCCCTTGAGAAGAGAATTCATGCGATGTAAAGCCCCTGTAAATCACCACTTTCATGTTAACCTCATAACATGATAGGCCCAAAATCATAGATAATTGTTATATTAGAGTCAGATTAGCATGTTTGAAAATTCCATAAAACAATAAACCCTATTTATGCCTAATCAGGTACTCATGAATAACAAGTTTCACTCAATCTGTTCAAAACAATCGTTTTCCTAGAATTCATTCATTCTTTCAATGTAAAGACACTTGAAATAATCAATCGGTTCGAGGAGCCAGTAGAAGGTCACGTCCACGATCGCGTTGTATCGATGTAGTCCCCATCTGGTGATTGATAGTTGGCAATTGGTGGCGTCAATCCTGGTCCATGAATGACCACATGCACTGGTGAGGCAACTGGCTCGACAGCCTGGAATTAAGGGAGATGGTCAAAACATTTGGAATTTGCCACGCAGCGCTTCATTGATTTCACTGATTTCCTTAGTAATTAAGTATCTTATTAGGGAGAAAAGTTGACGTCAGAATACCGCATGAGCGACTACAAACTTTCCAGTTACAGCGAGCAGCAGGCGGCAACACCATTTTCTTTTTCCAAGGTGCTGCTGGTGGTGGTGGTGGTGGTGGTAGTGGTAGTGTACTGTACTGGTGGTGGTAGTGTACTGCACCACAATCTCACCCATTCCGATGCGTTTCCACGGCTCATTGACAGACACAAGAAGGTAAAAGCAACTTTGGACACCCTGATTAAATCTGGCCACATTCACAGACGTTTGAAGAATCCAGTAGTGCCAGTTGCTCGGCGAAACACGCAAAGAAATTTAATTTTCCAGCAAGACAATGACATATTCAGGCTTCAACAGCATAACGGTCGTGCTGTTGTCTACTTGTTCTCCTTTGAAGAAAGTTACTGTTGTGGAGTGGCCAAGTTATATTCCAAACCTCGACCTAGCTGAACATTTAGGAAGTGTGCTAACGTTCACCAACCACACTCACAAGGGAGGTCGTTCAGGGCGTGGTGCGCTTTTCGAAAACGGTTTCTTGCATATTGTAGGGGCTCATGCAAGGACCTGAAAAGTGTGCTTCATTTTCGCTGCGCGCTTCCAGGAAAGGTAAAAAACGAGTGAAAAGAAATCTTTGGAATCTGCTTCGTTCTGGGCCTCTATACGGCGTAGGTCACTTGCAACTTTGACCAGTTGCTGAGTGGGGGGTCCTTATAAAGGGGCTATTTGAATCGAAGCGAAAAATCGCCGCAAGTGAGCTTCCAACTTGGGTCACGTGCTCAAGGGTGAACGGCTTCTTGCAATGGTTTCATCAACGATAAGAGCGCTAGCAGAGTCGAGCATCGGATGGCCTAGCGGATAGAGTGGAGGTTTCG